AATTGCGAGGTATAAAACCCATGTAAGAAATTTTTATGAAAAACCAACCTTAAAAGACAATTTTCAATTGATTCAACTTGAAAAGTCATGTTTTTCTGACATACAATTAATACCATTTTGATCAATTTTTTCTAACCAAAAGATCAATTAAAATCAGGTTTTTTCTTCTACAACACTATTCACTATTGACATCTGCCATTCCCGCAAGAAAAATTTCTCTGGGATACACTGGATCATCTATCTCGAGCCCTATCATATAATCACACGCGTTTTGATTTTATTTGTGACGATTTATGTGACATTTGAACTACTAGAAAAAAAAGAACAATTCATGTACGATCAACCAAAAATGCGTAATAAACTAGTATGTGTCACGTTTTATTTCTGTCCTGCAACAATTTTTAACTTCTTTATTTGATCGCTTATCATATTGTCATCGTTACTACTGACAGAACTATAAATATAAGTGAAGAAATGCTTTGTGCATGCATGCAGTTATTTTTACTGATAACAATATCGTCAAAAGTCAATTTTATAATCTACCAATAGTTCTACTGACGTGAGTATGTATATAATTTTTCAATATTGTTACATATTCAAGAAATCAAGGATGTTGAAGATATGCAAAGAAATGCAGGAGATATCATTTTGCATTTAAGCACATGGATCTATTAAAGCTAGTTTAGCATCTCGCTGCAACTTGTCTATAATACATGATTTCCTAGATATATAACACCTCTCAGATTTAGAGACCATTCTCGTGTAAGTAATTGTTAATCGTACAAGGTTACTGCATAGAGAAAGAATACGTCAATGTGATAAAGATTGATTTTATTTTTGAAAATTGTATTTAGATTAGGACAATGAAATCTTCTTCACATATCCACGTCATCAATCAAAAGAAAAATAACGAACAAAGAGTCGATCTTGTAATTTTCGTATTCTTTTTTTTTTCATTAAATAAAATATATTTTATAAAAATTAGTTTGAATTACAATCTGAAGATGATTGGACTCGCGCAATTCATCATAATCTCAACATAAAACGGCGCACATGTACTACATTTATTCCAAACCCTTCAATACCTAATGATCCGTATGTTATCAAAGATTACAATAGTCTTTTATTTTAATGAAAAGAAAAACTTTATTTTAGTAATAAAAATGAAAATGATATTCCATGTGGTTGTAATCGTCTTCGTCGTGAACATTCTTGGAATGTTTTTGAAGAAAAAGATGTTCAATGGGATCGAAACGAACATACAAGATCGGCCTACAACAATGCATATGGATATATACCGAATACTCATGCACATTATATTCGATGTGATATTAAAACACCTCCAAATATTCTTACTAAGTTAATGTTTGATATATGGAAAGTTAAAAATCCACAATTAATAATGTGTATTATTGGAGGAGCTAAATATTTTAAATTAAATGAACGACTTGAAAGAGAATTTATGAAAGGTATTATTCAAGCTGCATTGAAAGCAGGTAGAGAAAAAAAACGGTTGTAAAGATAAAATCTATTTGATTTATTTTTAAGATGGTTGGATTGTAACAACAGGCTTTAAAACAGGTGTTGTACAACTTGTTGGTGAAGCAATCCATGAACATAGAGTAACTAATCCACGAAGTCATATTACTGCTATTGGTTGTTCGAAATGGGGTGCAGCTAGAAATCGAGCATCACTCATATTAGTAAATGTTTTAAATTTATATTTATTTGTAAATTATTGAATTTTTATTTCTAGTCAAAAAAATTAACTAATTCTATTCAAGATACAACAATGGATACCTCAAAGAGAACAAAAGGTGAACAAGATCTTGAACCGAATCATACGCATTTTTTATTACTTGATGATGGAACTTATTATGGATATGATATTGAAGATTATCGGACAAAATTTGTTCTCGAAGCTTCACATTATAATAAATCAGATAATGAGGAAAATGGTACTTTTACAGTAGCCATAAAAACTCTAGCCTCCAAGTAAATAGTGCATAAGCTTTAATCTTTTTACCTGATATATTTTGGCTACAAATAGAGCTTAGTAAATTCTCGTCTCAGGCAACAAGACAAAACCAATAAGACTTTAAATATAAAGAATTTGCAATTAACACACTATTTTTTTAGCATGAAATTAAACTTTGCATGTATGAATTTTGCCATAGATAACGTACTCTAGCGCGCTGTAACCTTGGAGCACGAGAGAAGCCATCATTCTTTGAAACGGACTCAGCATCGATTTTGTTTTCTAGATTGATGACGATGTTGGTGAAATATTCCAAGCGAATAGTTAAAACTAGCCAAAGATATTGATCATATTTTGACGATTCTCGTCAACACTTATGTGAAGATCATGAAATTTTTATTGATAATACAAGCATTATTGAGCTAGTGAATGAACAGTCTAACATAATTAGATTTGTTTTAAGTATTGCGATGTCATAGTTTCAAGAAGAATCTATTCTAATTGTCTAGTCCATTCGCATGAAATCTAACCCAATCCTGCTTAGTTTATGTGATCAGTGTTCAAAATATTCTATTTGTAGTCAAACTATAAGACTAAAGGATTGAAGTTTAGGTACTTTTTACCTGGTAGCAGAATTTTTCGTCAATCTTATTATTTATTAATATTTTATTTAAGTGCCTATTGTGACTATAGTCGTTGAAGGTGGTCCAGATACATTATCAACAATTTATAAAGATCTGTCTAATAATATACCGGTAGTATTAATTGATGTATGTATTTCTATTTATGTCATAAAAAAAAATATTTTGATCGGATTTCATCTACTTAGGGTAGTGGTCGAATAGCTAATCTTCTTGCTAATTTTCTTAATCGTACGAAATCAATAATTAATCGAAGTGGAGAAGATAACAATGATTTTGATTGGAAAAAAATAATCCATATGAAAGAAGCAGGTGATATTGGAAAGTAAAATATTTATTTATTATTATATTGACATATATTTGTTAACAATTTTGTCTTTTTGAGATCAAAAACAAATTTTCGTTCTTATG